ACACACATACATATACATGTGTATATATATACATACATATGTACGGGTGGAGCTATTGGTGCGAGCACTCAAACACCAATTCAGGGATATAGAGCTTGGGGGCTTGCAGATCAAGTGGCCTTCTGATACAGCCCCTGTATCAAGATCCAACTATGGCCCGAGTGATTGGGTAGTCTCCCCAAATACGGGGACCCGAATATCAACCCCAGAACGCTGCGGTCCTTATTATAAGGACCCCCAAAATCGTACCCAAACTTTCGGAAACTCCAAAATTTAGAGGGGAAATTTTGTCCATCAAGGACCTATGCGACGTGTGCCTGTGATAGGCCATTTCCAGCAACACTACCAACCTGCACTGGCAACCTAAACCAATTTCAGGGTTGAGGGTTTAGGGTCTAAACTCCTCAAGACAGGGTAAAATAGAGGATTATAGAAGGAAGTATTTTAGGGGTTATTTAGGCTAGGAGTCTAGATTATGGGTTTAGGGTTTAGGTTCCTGCCGATGATGTAGAGCCCCTCAGGGTGACGGTTTTTCTCACCTATCGATCAGTCTTAGGCTCAAAAGAAAATTATTAGGTCCCTGTGGAATGTAGTTTTGATATATATATATACAGAGCCCTCATGTGACCCCTAATGTTCAATGTAGTTTCTATGTATGTATATGTATGTATATAAATGCATTGAGCCCTTAATGTGACCCCTAATATTCCTTCTAGAGAAAACTGGTAAGCCAAGACTCCAAAAACACAATCTGGCTATCCATTGTGTCCACCAAGTACATGTTGGAGGCATGGTCCATGCACATTCCCATCCTTTTTTGACTTCGTGCTCTACGCTTAATTGGGGTTCAAGTGGTAAGCAGTGAATGAAGAAATACATAGTAACGCCTGTAACAGTCTTCAGTCTTCATTGCCGAGTCCTTTGCTGCCCTCTGTCCACTCGGTAACTTCTCCAATGCCCAAGGAACCGTGCACCCAAAACTTTCAGAATAACTCTGCAATTATACGAGATACCGCTCTAAGACAGAGACTCGTGATATCTGTGTAAACAACATCCGTGCATGTACACCAAAGCAAAAGAATCCAGACAAACAACAAAGCTTGCGAAACCAAGAAGTGAGCAGCACACCGTTGAATCTTGCCATTTGAGCGCTGGTTGGCTCACCTTACTGTCTATTAGTCCTTAACAGAGGAAAGGACGCCTACAGTAGCCCTGGTATAGTACTGCAAGTTTCATAACAGTTTTCCTTTTCCTTTACTATTCCGTTATTCCTTGCTTTCCACCCTGAAGCCTAGCTAAGTTACTTTGTAGTTTCCCTTTCCTCTTCCATTCCGTACAAACCACAAGAAACAACATTGCCACACTGCAAACCGCTCCCCGTTGTACTACAATCCCCCTACACTCCTGATAAAAAGCCCTCCCAATACTATAGTAGTACTATATCGGGGAGTAAACATCATTAGGTCGGCGGGCTATAAGAAGCCCCGAACCGTAAATGACATTTCAATTTGCATGCCTCCACTCCACCCTAAACCCTAAACCCTAAACCGCCTCTATTATATACCTTTGCGCAACTCTGGGCCCTATGAACGGTAAACTGGTACTCAGCAAGGCGCATCCCAACTCAGGCTTCTCTACTTGTCGCGAGGGACACCATGTCTCGTGCGCCACAGGGGCTCCATACATCCAGTAGCTATACCTGGATTTAGTTGTTGGAGTTGTGGGCCATTGGTCTTTTTGGCATCCGCTCTCATCTGGCCGGTAGCATTTAAGGTAACAACACAAACTTTGGACAACCCACCTATTGGGCGTATGTCAGGTGTCAATATTCAAATCTATTTGATATGCTGGCCTAGAAAGACTAAAAAGGTATTTCGATCCAGGTCAGATACTAGTAACGGCTAAGGATTTGGAGTTTCCATCAATTTGGGGTTTGCCCTAATTCTTGAAACCCCGGGCTCTTACATGCGAATAGTATCACGATTATAACCACCATCTCGAATGTAACAACAGCAGCCGCACCAACAACAACACAACCTACTAGTACTGAGCACTACGAGTAGTAGTCGTCGTCGCCGTCGCCGTCGCCGTCGCCGTCGCCGTCGCCGTCGCCGTCGCCGTCGCTGTCGCTGTCGTCGTCGTCGTAGGTGGTGGTGGTCGTCGTCGTTCTCGTCGTCGTCGTCGTCGTCCTCGCCGCCGCCGCCGCCGCCGCCGCCGCCGCCGTAGTAGTATGTAGTAGTCGTCGTCGTCGTAGCAGAGCAGTAGCTAGTACTATTATCTCCACTACTACTACTACTACCACTGCTACTACTACTACTACTACTACTACTACTAGGCGTACTACTAGGCGTACTACTACTACTACTACTACTACTACTACTACTACTACTACTACTAGGCGTGACGATGCTAATTGATCGCAGGTGTTTGGGGCTTGCAAAGTTGT